AGCAGAGATAACACTGTGGCCGGGCATTAAACTTTTTAAACCCCTATGCACCACAGCCAAAACTACCGTTAACTAACTAAAAGAGAAAAGAAAGGAATTCAGAGCATCGAGCTTTATAGCTCAAAACTCCTTGAAATATTGCTGTTCTGTGTCAAACACAGGCCTGGTTGTTGATATCAGGATATCAGTGATGCACCACGGCTGCTGTGTACAACATTGTACAGTTAAAGTGACTTACTTTGAAGAGCATTTTCTTGTATTATGTGTTTTTTTCTTTTAAAGAAACTGCAAGTCTGCTCTTGATCAGTTTGTGCTAATTAGCGAGCATTAGCATGCTAAACTAGCAAAAGCAAAATTATAAACACCGTAAACATATCATAAACTATCCAAGTATTAGCACAATAGCCACATAATTGCAACCTTGTTACCACACTGACCCTAAGGTCAAAGCACCTTTCTGTCATACTTTTAAATCTGCTAGCTTTAAAACTTCTCATATATACACAGACTGTTTATATACTTATATTTTTTCCGAGATTTCTAAAAAATGGAGTCGAGCAATTACTCAAGATAATGCATCTATTAGTGATACATTTGTTGTTTATAATAATAAAGTGCTTATAGTATATACAATTTGTTAAACAGCTTAAATGCTCACCATGTCGTTAGCTAATGCTTCACCAGAAAGGTGCTAGCTATAGGGCATTAGCTATAGGGCAGAAAGCATCTTTTCTCTAATGTTATTTGTAGTTTTCAGTTACACCTTGCTTAGGTTTAGGGAAAAAAAAAACTACATGATTTGAGTTAAAATATATTCTATAAGAAATGTTAACTAAATCTAAGAAGGCCAGTCTGATGCAAAGCCCTGGAGCAAACGCCCTGCTTCATCTTTATGTGCTATCTTTCTGGATTATTGCAGCTTATAAAAGACGTCTTTTATTCAGTACCATGATAGAGATCAGTGTTTTTCTTGGTATTTGAACTGGTTGCGACTGAAAAAGGTCAACTTTTTAAAACTCCCAGCGATTTACTGATTTCATATATTGATTCGGGTGGGTGCTGGTGGTGGTGGGGGGCATTGCCTGTCACCGCAGTGTTTTTCAGGTTAAATAGTGGAACAGTGAGGGACATTGCTGTCGAGCTGTGATTGGGATCCTGTCTTGGCTAAAAGCGGGATTATGACTGAGTCGCTCTAAGCCAGCACTGTTGCATTTTCATTCAGCTACATCCTGCGAATATGCCTCATTTTTATCATGAGAAAAGACCCATTGCATGTCTGAATATAAAGGCTGGTGGACAGATCCTCCCACAGAAGAAAAATCTAATGCTCAGAGAGGCCAAATCATTTAATGCATCACAATCAAAGCTGGAATAGCAGCTCTTGTTTATCGATTGTGGAGATTTTTTCACTCATGAATAAACCCAGTGATTCGGAAGGTGCCAAAGTTAATCTGCTTTGCATAAATAAATTGTTAAGCCGCATCTGTTCCTTCGACAAGCTTGAAATGGAAGTCAGGAACTCAGAAAAGTACCCCATTATTTATACACTACAGAAACACCTGAACATGTAAATAAAATTACAGAAATGAGCTTTCTTTTTATGCAAATTCTGCAAGGGGTGGCGGAAGGGAGGCTTTCATGAAAGCGCTAGTTTAAAGGGAAGTGTGATCACACAGGCAATATCTCTGCTCATACAAATTCATTCAACACTTTATGGAAATGAACACTAAGCAACAAAATAAGGTGGGGTCACAGTGCATGGTAACATGAGAATGCTTTCCCAGAAGCAGACTGGGGGATTCAAGGACTTGTCAAGGGAAAATCACAGGAACAGTTTTCACAGCATTTCAAGGGATCCATGAACATCTTTTGCTATTCCAGATTTAATTGAGTCTTCTGGCTTTTTGATTATGTGAAGAGACGTATTCATTGGAGCGAGTTCCAATATTGGCTACTGTATATTCTGTTTATCTGAAAGGAAAAGCATGCCACTCAGCACACTGACATAATTCAGCAACTATGGATAAATTGCCACAAGATTTCGTACAGACACTTCAGGATAATCCTTTGATCCTTTTTGTTGTTGAACAAGTGTTGGTAAATTATAATGGCATTAAGCCCGGTTCGGTACCATTTCCAGTACAAGTATAACAGAAAGCTGCAGAATATAAACAGTGTCGACCTATGTGGACAAAATGCCACAGATTAGCTCAGGTGGTAGGTTGCAGCAACTCCTTGTTTTCACTTTGAAGTTGCCCACTGGTAACTTGTGGACATTCCAAGCTCCGGTTACCTAGGTAACACTCTAAAGTATGGACAGCAAGGTCATATGTTAGTCAATGCTAACCTGTGCTCTGATTCATAGTCGCTTTAAACACTCGCCTGGAAGTTGAGAAAAGCATATTTGGGTCCTGCCAATTTCACGTGGCCAGTGGTCGTAGTCGCTTCAAGTCACCAAGCATCACTTGCCTTCTGTGGCTGTGGTCCGGCATGTGAAGCCAGCATAACTTTCTAGTGTTTTGAGACCTTGGTGTTTTATTTATTTTTCCTTTTTAAAAAGAAATGGAGATGAATTGGTCATTTGTACATTTATTCTATTTTTTTTGCTTTAAGGTTTTATTTGTAGCGTTCACAGGGAGTATTGGATTTTGAGAGGCAATTTGCTCTTCTTAATCTATACATGAATATATGAAGTTACAATTTCCTCTTGTTCACTTACACCCTTGATCTCTGAGTCAGCTACCTAAAAAAGAAAATAAATCCAGAGTGAGGATTTCAATTAAGGAGTTAATGTAGTGGTGCCAGTGGGTAGCATACAGAAATAGACATTCCCAACTGCCTCCCTGACTCCCACTCCCCTTGCTTCTTTCCAGCTGTTTTTAAAGAAACAACCATCCATCACCAGCCATTTTAAAAGCTGGTGTGCGTGTGGACCTGCGCCAAGTGAACAGCTAGTGTCTATCTTGTTCGCCTGCGTGTCTCCCAGGTGACACATCGCATCTCGTCACAACGGTGACTCACATTCGCTCAGAGTGGTCCAAGGTTTGAGGAGCGGGAACACGAGGAGAAGCACATGGCTACAAACCCAGCGACTTGCCGTTACTGTGTCTGCGCATGAATGCACTAACATGCTCAAACACACCCAAAGGTGTTTGCTCACTCTCAGGGGCACCAAACCAGGGAGCGATACTAAATGATTTAAGGAGACAGAGCTGGACAGCAGCCCTGGAACATACCGCACATTATGCTGTTGTTTTTCACTCTTAGAGCTCCTTACAAATGGCGCTTAACTTCTGTGCATGTGCAGAAACCCTGTTTTTGGCCTGCCACATCACATTTCGCCCAACCAGCTGTGTGAAGTCTTTTGGAAAGACTGTGGTACGTTAATCCAGCGCAGGTGCGCTCATGATTAACTGACTGATAAGAGGAAGCGGAACAACCAAGTAAAGAAAGGTCACACCGCTGTTGGGAACAAGGCTCCGGTCTCCGGTGCTCCACTTGTGCTTTTCCAGAATCTGTTTTGTTCTGGTGTGAGCTGGATGCCCTGCAGGCTGCCTCAAATGGGTCGGCACGAGCCGTCAGAGACTGAATCATCCTCAAGACCTGCAGCTGTAAGTAAGTCACATAGAAGCTGATTATTTAATGTATGAGGATAATGTATTTAATTTGATGTTTGCATTCATTGTAACCTGCTCTGCCTAGGCTTAGGAATCAACCAAGCATAAGGTAAAGGAGCTATTTTGTTTTTTAATCTCATTGTGAATTTGTCTGTATAACTGGCTGCTAAAAGATTTAATCTTTCCTTTGTTTCCATTACTTATGATATGGATCCATGTAGACATCTTAAAGGTTAGTAATATGCTTAAACTCCTATATAAAATTGTAGCCATGGATATTATACATCCGCAGGCCTTTTTTCTTCTTGTGTGGGACCGTAATTCAAAAGCATTTGTGCAGCTCCGAGCAACAGACATACTGTTCATCACACAGGTTCAGAGAAATGCTTCAACACCGAGACTGAGAAGGGAGAGAAAAATATATGGTTCAGCGTCTCCCCCCCACCCCCCAATCCACCCACCTCACAAGAACAGCACAGTAATCAATTCCGTTTAGTACAAATCCAATGCACTTAAACTTCCAGCACGAATAACCAGAGGCTGCAGAGCAGAGGTACATTTATCGATAAAGCAATTAATTCAAACCACTCCTCTTTCTCATTCTCCTCTGGCTGCTGCCTCCTCCATGCTTGGAAAAAAGGGGCTTTCAAGTACCTGTTACTCAAAAAAAAAAAAGTAATATAGCATTTAATTAAAATGTTAATTTAAGGCCATAAAGTTGGGCTAAGTTATAAGATAAGGTGAAAAAAAAGTCAAAATACAATGACGAGATGTTACAATAGAATTAATTTAAATAGGCACTTAAACTTTACTTGACGTCTACTGGGTTAAAAAAATAAATAAAAGCCTACCACTAAGGGCTTCTGGGTAAATGTAACGTCGCTGCTCGTTACTTTATTTGCGTCGTGACTGTTTTAAAGAGTTGTAACGTCATTTACGGCAGCACACTGCTGACTTCGCGGTCCACTGCAATCTTAATAGAGACTGAGGGAGCACCAGTCCGTCCACTGGAGTGGAGGGAGACAGTGGAAAAAGAGCATCCAGCAGAGCTTCTCTCGTCTGTCACCGCCGTCAAGTCAGACGTTAAAAGCTGGGGCACTACCGGAATTGAAGTTCTCACTTTCAACATAAAAGCGCAACTTCACGGAACGAAGGCTAGGTGAGTACTGAGCTGAAAGCTGTGCATATTTCTTTGCTTAACAAACATACGATATGGGAAATAATTATATCCCTACGTTTAACGAAGTCTAAACTTCTTGGTAGACCCTTGAAAAGCGACATGAGTAAAGGCTGTGGCTTTATTTTGAAAATATCCACCGGTAGCCGCGCTCTTATTTTGTCCGGCTTCGCGCTCCCTGTGCCTCTCAGAGCTCGGTCGGCTCGCAGAGACAGCAGGATGCCAAAGGGAGCACTCCGGCACACGGCGTCCGTTTTACCGTCTCTCTACGTCGTCTCTCAGTCACGGCAACTCTGATGGGCGTTTTTATCTTGCCTTTACCGCCCTCGACGCTTGGATATTTTCGGAAGCCACGAAATGAAGCGAATGAATGTGAGCAACAAGAAGTATCCTGTTGTTGTGCCTGTCTCCAGCATCACTAGTAGTCAAGTACTCTCTGTGGATGCGGTGCCTCTAAGTGGTTGTAGTTGTCTGATTCTTAAGAGGATTTGATGTAGTAATCAGTAGTGGACTACCCAACTTTTTCCCCCCTCCCGCCTTTTTGTTGTCTATTTTTTTCTTTTTGAGGTTTTCCGTCTTTGAAACAAAGATTTCAGGATAGACCAACTCCGGAAAACCGGCGACTTCACATCTGCTCCCGGCGGAATAACCATTGTTAGCGGTTATTCGCCTTTCACAAGCATCTTCTCTGGGGTGGGAACACGACTGATGCTTGCCTTGTTCGTCCATGCGAGTTTTGTATCGTCTCGTTCTTGTTTGTCTGTTTGTCCCACAGTGGCATGAAAATTCATGAATGCGTCCAAGGACATGTATACAAATTACGCATGCACCATGACGGTAGTAGTCTGTGCGTAATATCCTATTATTATACCCCTACTACACGAATGCAATAACAAACACATTCAGTCTCATACCTGTGTTTGGAGAAGATTTGACAGATCCATCCTAACTTGATTGGTGTGTGTGTGCGTGTGTGTGTGAGAGAAGCATGGACGTTATGACTATGACACGGTAGACTGCTAGATCATGTTTTATAAATAGATTTTAGAGTATTTTAAGTAAGCAAAACCACCTTAAGACTAATTAGGGTTCATGCCATACCAGTGCCTGTAAAGGTGGTCAAACTTAGTAGCAAATAATAATAATAAAATAATAGCAAACAGCTATTAGACACAGCTCCATGCCTTTGCCATAATTAATGCTCCCTGCATGGGTGTGTGTGTGTGTTTGTGTGTGTGTGTGTGTGTGTGTGTGTGTGTGTGTGTGGATGGATCAGGTGAATCTGCGCGCAAACATGCATGTGTTTTCCATGTGCCTGCCTGTGGGTCCTTGGCCGTGCTAACATGCCCTCCTCCCTCCCTCCCTCCTTTCTGTGCGTGTGTACAGCCACGCTGGAAGTCGCCTCCTATGTGGCCGTCGGGAGTGGGGAGCAGGCAGCCCTGCCCGCGGGAGTCTGCGCTGCGCAGGGCGGCCATCAGCGGCAACATCAACGCCCTGCCGCCGCACCACGTCCCCACCGGCCGCAGTGTCCGGGTCTTCATCTGTGCCAACCCCGACGGTAAGAGTGTCAGCGTGACACCCCCCCTCTCTGCCTTCCTACCGACCACCCCTTCCTCCTCCTCCTCTACGTCTCCCTCTTTTGAAGCCCGTGCACCCTCACAGTGACACAATGCTCTCGAGTATTTCACCATATTCTTCATGTCTGGAGCTGTACTCTGGCTTAAAAAGAATTTCTGGGTGAAATCAGCCACGCTCATTTCAAGACAGCGTCTCAAAAGTGCAGCAAGAGGCTTGTGCAGCTCCGCCGCTTTGAAGCTCGCGGTCCTGTGATCCACTATTGATTCAGGTCTCCTTTGGAAAGACGGGTCAGGACTCTCAGATTGAGCCACAAGCTGCGACATTTAAAGACCGGCTTACTTTAGCGGCTGGCGACGTCTCAGATGAGGTTACATTAGGCCATGTGACAACTCTGACTCAAGTGAAATTGTGTATGTCACTGATGCAATATAGAGCAGACTGCTTTCAACCTAGCAGAGTGCAAGACAGTCGGGTCGTGAGGAAGACACCCAGTTCCAGCTCTGTATTTGAATATGCCCTTTGGGTAAGGGGGTAAAAATAGGCTCAGCAAAACTGGAGTAAACAAGGCAAGGGAAGTAGAGTAGGCTACGAGAGAAAGGGATGGCGGGAGAGTGGAGGAGAGAAGCAGGGCATGCCAAGGATTTAAAGAGAGAGTTTGCCTTTGTCGATACGTCACTGTCATTTGCCGTCCCTCACTGAGCAAAATTGCTCTGGAGCCCAGAAAAACCTGAATGAGCTGACCATGGATTATTGCACCGTAATGGCCTCTCACCGCTGAAAAGTCTGGCATTGTTTAGCCACCTGTAGCTGAGTCAGATGTTTAAACCGTCCCGCCTCAGCACAAATTTAACGCTCCAGTCTACACGTGGATTGAAAATAAGGATGAGGGGGACGTTCCGAGGAGTTCTTTTCACACCGATCGCACTAATGGAAAGACCGCATCTTAGCCCGAGGCACGAAGACAGCTAATTATGAGCTGCTGTTTCGAGATGCCTGGTATCCAGCTTCTAGTAATGAAGCCGTAGAGGTGCAGAGGCACAGCCGATTCTCCCTCAGCCTCACCTCGGTCAAATAAAACAGCAGTTCTGTGCGTTTCTTTTGGTTTCTTTGGTCAGACGTCAGGCAATTAGCCACATTATCACTTACATAAAACGCTCGTACTGTTCTCAGGTACTTTCCCATACTTTTAAACTTTCTTGTTTATGTCTGCAGCCGCTGCATGCAAGGAAAGCATAAAAGAAAGGCTGTTATTAGTGGATGTCACCCAGGTCAGCCCACAGCCTGACTGCAGAGCTTCTTTCTGCATGTTCACTAGAGGGGGCTATCCATGCATTTATTTACTGCACTTCACACGACTGTACGTGCATTCAGACAGCCGTTGTGCATTATTGCACGTCGACATCACGCTTTTACGTCATTTTTCCGCAACTCATCATGTACGGAAAAAGCAAGTCGGGCTTGAGGCTGGAAACTCAGACAAAGGTCAAGTTTGCAGCCCTTTGTCTGAGCTGCATTCAGATATGGGAAGATGAGCTCTGCTTCCACATGCAGGAGTCGATGGTCAGGTGGACTCACTCAATCTTTCCCTTGGTAACAGTTAGCGAAATATATGCTGCATGTAACGCAATAGATTTACTATTTGTAATGTCAGACACTAGAAAGGGGAACGGCGCTGTTGGAAGTGATCACCTCGCTGTCGTAAAAGTGTAACTGCTTGGTTTTATTGCGCCTGATGATCCGGGGATCTCTGCTTTGACTTATATATACACAGACACACACACTTGCAACGTGTGTTACGGTGTAGGCTCTGCTGAATACAATGACCCTGATGCACCTTAATCAGAAAGCCACAGATGACCGCAGAGCACGGTCTCCGGTGCGTTCGCCCTCGCGGACCTCTGCTGTGTTTGTTTACATCGCCTAAAAAGGGGCACGACACTCAATTTGAGCAGTAATTTAGAAAAAGAGCACAAGATCACTGCAGAAAGTTTACTCGCCAGTGCGGTGATACAGACTCTATAGAGGTATTCACGTCCTTGCCACAGTGTACAGCAAAGAAATCCCTCCTCCTGTGGATTTTAATGAATCTTGGCTCAGGTGGGTCTGTGTGTGTGGGTACAGCCGATCAATTAAAACCCCCACTATCTGTTCTTGCCAGTAGTCAGACGGCGGCAACAAACCAAAGAGAAATCTTTGGCCCATCTTACCGGCCCATCTTTGTGTGTCTCGATTCATATGAACATATCAATACAACTCCATTACCT